ACTAGATCAAGCACCAAATGGAGGAAAAGACTGACAGAGAACAGACAACAAGGAGAGCTACAGAACAGAAGTCCCCTGCCAGCTAACATGGAACAGCTTTGCCATCTTGGAGCACACAGCTTGCAACAACCCTGGATAGGGTGTATGGGAAGGCAACTTCATGAAGCTGACAGAAAACTTAACCAATATCATGAAAGATAAAAAGCTGACCATTCAAGAATCTCTGTGAACCCCATATGGGATAGACCCCAAAAGAAAGTCACCAAGACATATAATCACACTCAACAAAACCAAAGACAAAGAAATAATCCTGAGAGCAGTTCAAGAAAAATCCAAAGTCACATACAAAGGTGAAACAATAAGACTAAGCTCTGATTACTCAGCAGAAACCACGCAGGCAAGAAGGCAATGGGATGACATATATAAAACCTTGAAAGAGAAAAAAATTGCCAACCAAAAATAATATGTCCTGCAAAACTCTTGCTCAGATATGATGGCAAAATTAGGACATTCCTAGATAAACAGAAATTAAGGGAATATGTAAAAACCAAACCAACCTTACAAGAATTATTAGAGGGAGTCCTTTGGTTAGAGAACCAACAACATCAGACAACAACCTAAATCTAGAACACAGGACAGTATCACCCAGATACCATCCTAGGTAATGAACTCTTAAGGATAACACAATTTAAAAGATTTACAACGGGGAACCAGAGATGTCAATCTCTAAAAGACAACAATGTCAGAACAATAAAAGGGGGAATAAATGATGTAGGTATGGCACTTTCAATTGGAGAAAAAGTCAAGGCCATATTAAGTGATAAAATACTGGTTCAAACTTAGGAAGATAGGGGTAAATTTCAAGGTAACCACAAGAAAAGTTAATAAACCTACTCATAAAAATAATGAAGAAAAAAATAAGTCTCAGTAACACAAAATCTACAAAAATGAAAGAAACAAAAAGAAATTCAACAAAACAAAAGGAATTCAGTACAGGAGAGTAAGAGGAACAAAGAAAACATCAGCACAACAACAAAAAAAGCACTACAAAATGACACCAATAAACTCATACCTATCAATAACCACACTGAATGTAAATGGCTTAAATGAACCCATAAAGAGACAGAGAGTGACAGAATGGATTAAAAAACAGGACTCCTCAATATGCTGTCTACAAGAGAAACACTTTAGAAACAAATAAATAAATATATTAAAAATCAAAGGATGGAAAAAATATATCAAGTAAACAGCATCCCAAAAAGAACAGAAGTGGTAATACTAATATCAGATGAAATAGACTTTAAGGCAAAATCCACCATAAAAGACAAAGAAGAACATTGTATAATGATTAAAGGGATAATCCACCATGATGACATAACCATAATAAATATCTACACAACCAATGATAAGGGTCCCAAATGCATAAAACAAACTCTAACAGCACTGAAAAGAGAAATTGACACTTCCACAATAAGAGGAGGAGACTTCAATGCATCACTCTTGGCAAAGAACAGAACATCTAGAAAGATACTGAACAAAGATACAGACAATCTAAAGGCCACAATCAAGCAACCTGACCTCACAGACACACATAGAACACTCCACCAAACAACAGCAAAGTATACGTTCTTTTCCAACGCACATGGAACGTTCTCCAGAACATACACATCTTAGGCCACAAAGCAACCCTCAACAACATCCAAAACAATGAGATTATACAAAGCATCTTCTCTGATCACAATGCCATAGAAGTAGAAATTAATAACAGGAAGAGCATGGGAAAAAAATGAAAAAAAAAAGGAACTGAATAATGCCTGCTTAAAAAACACTGGGTAATAGAAGAAATCAAAGATGGAATAAAAAAATTCCTAGAATCAAATGAGAATGAAAACACAACATTCCAAAACCTTTGGGACATAGCAAAGGCAAAGCTCAGAGGTCAATTTATAGCAACAGATACACACATCAAAAAAGAAGAAAGGGATAAAATAAAAACAGCTTTATAGCTCAAACAAATAGAAAGATAACAGCAAAAGAAGCCTACAGCCACCAGAAGAAAGGAAAAAAATAAAGATCACAGCAGAAATAAATGAAATAGAGAATAGAAACACAATAGAACAACAAAACCAAAAGTTGGTTCTTTGAAAGGATCAGCAAAATCAATAAACCCTTGGCCAAACTGACAAAAGGAAAACAGGAGAGGATGCAAATAACCCAAATAAGGAATGAAATGTGGAACATTACAACAGACTCAAATGAAATATAGAGGATCATAACAGAGTACTATGAAAAACTATACACCAACAAATTTGAAAACCTAGAGGAAATGGACAAATTTCTGGAAACACACTACCTACTTAAACTAACACAAACTGACGTGGGAAATCTGAACAGACCCCTAAAAAGAGAAGAAATTGAAAAGGTAATTTTAAAAAATTCCCAATAAAAAAAAGTCCTGGCCCAGATAGCTTCACTGGAGAATTCTACCAAACATTCAGAGAAGAGCTCACACCAGTAATACACAAACCATTGCAAAACATAGAAAAGGAAGGGATACTTCTGAATTCATTCGAGGAAGCCAGCATAACTCTGACATCAAAAACAAAGACACCAAAAAAAAAAATTACAGACAAACATCTCTCACAAATATGGATGCAAAAATTCTCGACAAAATTCTAGCCAATAGAATTTGGCATCATATAAAAAAAAACCACACTACAACCAAGTGGGATTCATATCAGGTATGCAAGGATGATTCCACATTAGAAAATCAATCAATGTAATCTACCATATAAATAAATCAAAAGAAAAGAATTACATGATCATTTCAATCTACACAGAAAAGGCATTCAATAAAGTTCAACACCCACTCCTGATAAAAACTCTCAATAAAATCAGAATAGAACAGAAATTCCTCAGCATAATAAAGGACCTCTACACAAAACCAACAGCCAACATCATTCTCAATGGAGAGAAGCTGAAAATATTCTCCCTGAGAACAGGAACAAGAGAAGGATGCCCTTTATCACCACTCCTATTTAACTTTGTGCTGGAAATCCTAGCTAGAACAATAAGGCAAGACAAAGAAATAAAGGGCATCCAAACTGGTAAAGAAGAAGTAAAACTATCCCTATAAGTGGATGGTATAATACTATACATACAGAACCCAAAAAACTCCACGAGAAAACTACTGGAACTAATAGAAAGACTCAGCAGAGTAGCAGGGGACAAGATAAATGGAAAAATCAGTTGGATCCCTATACACCAAAAAAAAACAACTAGAAAACAGAAATCAGGAAAGCAGTACTATTTATAATAGCCCCTGAAAAAAAATAAAAACTTAGGAATAAATCTAACCAGGGATGTAAAAGACCTATACAAAGAAAACTACAAAACACTACTGCAAGAAACCAAAAGACGCCTACATAAATGGAAAAACATACCATGCTCATGGACAGGTAGACTCAACACTGAAAACGTCAGTTAAACCAAAAGCCATCTACAAATACAATGCAATCCCGACCCAATTAACAACAGCATTCTTTAATGAGATGGAGAAACTGATCATTAACTTTATATGGAAAGGAAAGATGTCCTAGATAAGCAAAGCATTAATGAAGAACAAGTAGGAGGCCTCACACTTCCTGATCTCAGAACCTACTATACAGCCACGGTAGTCAAAACAGCCTGGTACTAGTACAATGACAGACACATTGAATAATAGAACAGAATTGAGAACCAGATGTAAATCCATTCACCTACAGTCACCTGCTCTTTGACAAAGGCCCAAAGTCCACTAAGTGGGGAAAAGACAGTCCTTTTAACAAATAGTGCTGGCAAAACTGGATGTCCATCTGTAAAAAAAATTTTGTTCAAAACCTTTAATAAAGCACCATATTGTGCTCTCTGTATTTATTTGCACTTCTGTCTACTGGAGTTACCTAGGAGCTCCTCAGGGATGGGAAACTTGTTTTATTCCATATTCTCAGCACCAAGCATGGCATCTAGCCCATAGAAAGCATTCAATATATGTGTTATGTAATGCATTGATGAAAAAAGGTTATCTCTTAGACACTAGGAAACCCTGGTGGCATGGTGGTTAAGAGTTTGGCTGCTAACCAAAAGGTCTGGAGTTTGAATCCATCAGGTGCTCCTTGGAAACCCTATGGGGCAGTTCTACTCTGTCCAATAGGGTTGCTATGAGTCGGAATCGACTAGACGGCAACTGGTTTGTTGTTTTTTCTCTTAGACACTATGAACTCATGGAGTGCACCAAACCAAACACAGCGTACAAGAGTGTTAGGAAATAAAAGGAAATTAAATCCATCCTGTTGGGACTGTAAACATTACAAAGCTTCAGGGATTTGTTGTTTTTTCTTTATATGCTACTGAGTAGAGAAGGAGAAAGAAGAATTGAAATCTGAAATGAAGTAGACCTTCTAAGACAAATGAAGTGAATCTTAATCACTGGGGTGAAGTGAAATTTCAGATGGACTGGAGCAAGTTCTTTGCAAATCTTAGACTCTAGTATTCAAACTGCTAGGAATTTAAAGTCATCTTAAATGGAATTAGGGGCAAAAAATAAACTTAGAGTACCTTATGGTCGGCTATCTGCCTTCTTTTCTTGTATTGCAGATTTTTTGTAGGAATTGACTTCTTCTTGTGGAATCAGAAAGAAAGGGTCAAATAGAATTTTTCTTTATTTGTTATGGTTTTATGTTTCCTGGGTGGTTTGTCAAAAATTTCCTTGTTAATGAAGAACTGGAAATCAGAATCCAACCTACCATCATTCTTATTTTCTTTCTTTATTGTGTTTCTAAACTTAAAAATGGGTCTATACAACTCACCGGTGACTTGAAATATATGTTTTACATGTTTGGCTTTTTAGATCAAACACTAATCAAATCACCTCATACCCCACCAAAAAAATTTTAAGAAGTCTAACTCCTCCCCCAAACAAACAAACAAACAAACAATAAGAAAAACAACAAAAACATTACCTTGAGCTATATAAGGTGTAGTTACCTCTTTAGGAGGGATATTTGTGGGCCGAGGAGTAGGGGCAGGAGGTCGGTTTATAATGAAAGATCGACTTCCGAGTTTTTTCTTTATGCTCATATTGGCCAGTATTATGTCATATTCACTGTTATTAATCTCAGCGAAAGTGTATGGGTCTTCCTCCTCCTTCTGATCCTTTTCATCTTCTTTTTCTTCCTCTCCTTTGGGTTCATCTCGTATTTCTTGTCTTCCACCAGGATCATACCAATTTTTGTTTCTTTCCATTTGGTCTTGCAGCGTTATTCCTGCTGGTAAAATATTAAAATTGTGTTTACTCTTTCGTTATATGTAATATTATTGGTGTCCATCTGGCAATTGCCTGAGCTTCCCAAACTGGTTTAATCAAATGCCATAGGAAACAATATAAGAGTTCCTGTCGCTTGAAAAATAGTTTATGCATTACCCCATAAATTCCAAAAAGGGAAAATCAAGCCATGTATTTTACTAACATATCCTCCTGCAGTTTGTAATTGTTAACCTTGGTAAGGAAAAACACTTAGTTTGCTTAAGATGAATTTTTTTTTTGATGCATAAAAGTATTTTCCACATTATTTTGTATGTTATAGTTTACCAATGATTGAATATCAGGAAACTGAGTTACAAAGTCTCCAATTCCAAATGCTCTGAAAACTTGAGCTTTTCAAGCATGATAGTCTGAATTTTTTCTTTTATTTGAAGCCACTTTACCTTTCATAGGATTTGTACTAGGTATTTTGCCTAAAATTCAGTTTCTCTGAAAATGACAGGGGAATAGCCAAAGGCACCATTACTTGGCTTCCTAGCAGTCACTCTCATTCTGGCTATGAAAAACTGGTCTTTAAAAATGCAACTCTTGATATCTACAAGGCAACATGAATCTCATTTTTAGCTGAAGGACACTGGAAGTAGAGTTGGTAATTCCATGATATAAAAGATGCCAGGAGTAAATCAATGGCTTGAGGATTAATTCATATGAAAAAAATAAAATTGCTGATTTTATATTCTTTGAGGATTTTCCTGTTCAGTAAAATCTTTACATATTTTTATAAAAATGTGTTAAATATTTCCCTAGCAATTATTTAGAAAACAAATATTTCAGAATATACTCTGGTTAACAGAAAAGTTGAGAATTTCATTGGCTCTCTATCAAGCCAATGCAAATTTGTTTTTTGTTTTTTTTTAATTTGCCTCTTGACAAGCATTTTGCTTATGGTGTTAATGAAAATAACAAAACGGAAAGCATTTCTGTTACTGACTGGAAAACCATTGTTTTTCTATGGCGTTCTGAGAGATTCATGCACATTAGCTAAGGGAGAACTACCCTCTCCTCTCTTTGCTTGGTACATGAGTCTGACTAAAAAATTTAGTTTACTCATGGATTTTTAGTGGAAAATCTTAGATGCTAAGAGAAAAGAGAAGTTGTAGGGCAAAATAAAAGGATATTATTCTAAGAAGATTCAACAATTATTTTGGGTGGGCTTATGAGGAGAGACTAAAACAATCTCCCAACACAGTCTTAGATCTGATTGTTTCAGTTATTTTAACCTAAGAAGTATTAATTGCCTATGTGCTTAGCAGTAACTTTAATACCACCATGACTTGCCTTTTTCCCTATGAATAATATGACTTTGAAATTTTGACTTCATGACTTGTGTTTCTCTGACAGCAGCACAGGTGAAACCAGATTAAGTGTGTGGGAAACACGTTCACATTTATAGCTGCATTTTTAGCAGAATGTGTCAACTCTCTACTTTTGTGAACCCATTTCCTGAGCTGTTAACTCCCTTTGTTTCCCCACCCACCTCTTTTCCCAACTCTTTCTAAAGTTGGACTTGTACTAGAAACGATATATTTTACTTTTTTATTTCCTAGTGCATCACTTTATACTTTTCATTTTGGAGCGGGACCTGAGCTTTCTCAATTCATGTTGTACATTAAAAAACAAAGATTAAAATAAATCACTCCTATAATTATAACTTTTGAAATAATTGGGGTGACATGTGTTTCAGAGAGAAGAACCCTAAAAGTCCAGGAAACCTGTTCATATAAATAAATATTTGACACATTAAAACTATAGGCTCTGCGGTCTTGGGTGTGAGCCCAAGATCATATAAGCCTCATTGATAAAAACAAACAAACAAAACCCAACTGCTGTCAAGTTGACTTCTACTCATGGTGATTCCATGTGTGTCAGACAGTACTGTGCACCATAGGGTTTTTAATGGCTGGATTTTGGAAGTAGATCAACAAGGCTTTCTTCTGAGGCAATTTTGGGTGGACTGGAACCTCCAACCTTTCAGTTAGCAGCAAGCTGTTTAACCGTGTACACCACTCAGGAACGCCTCCTCAACTATAAAGAGGGGATAATAATGATACTGGCCTTATAGAGTGGTTGTGAAAAGAAAAGCAAACAATGTGTTGTTTACAAATTGAAAAGTGCTCTACAATGTTCTCTAATAAATACGTCCGTAAAACCATCAACAGAAATTTGATGTTTAGGCCATTAATGTGGTGGCCTCTCTTCTTACTAACTTAAAGGCAGCTGAAAGCTACTCTTAAAGGACAATTCCTAAAGGTATCACTAGCTAAAGTCAAAGAACCCATACAAAGTCACTGGCAAAAAACAAGTGATAGCTTACGGCTTGACTTCTAAAGATCTTAATCAAAAAAGTTTAAGGAAAAATAGTGGCATTTTATTTTCCATTTATTCCAATATCAGCCCTATGAAAAGATGAGATTAAAGGTAATACTGCATGTAAAATGTAAAAAGAGAGTACTGGATTTTAAACTAAAGCAGTGGGTTTTTGTTTTATTTTACTTTTTAGATTTGGTACTTTTCAGGAGATACATTAGCCAACGTTATGCTTCTGGTCTTAGATGTCCAGTGAACATTCTCTGTAAGGTGGTTGTAGATCTCCTAACCAACATATCATACATAGAAATTTACATTAAGAAAAATATGATTAAATATTATCTCCTTTAAGAGAAATAACTGACCCAAGACAACCTTGTTTTCTTAACAACTGATTTTAATAACTTCATAAAATTAGAAAAAAAAAATAAAATGAGAAAAATATACCAGAATTTTGCTGTGTGTGTACTACTAACATATTTTCTCCCCCCAGTACTAATATACCTACATCATTGATACATTTCAAGGATCTACAAGAGTTTGGTACAAAGTAAGCGATCAATAAATATTTGTTGAATGAATAAATGAATCAGAATAGTGTTCATTAGGTTTTCTATACTTTCCATCTCTAAATACAGCACATAACCTTAATAAAGGTTTATGTTGATAAACTTAAGCCCTCATAGAGATGAAACCTTCAAGGACAAAAATGCTAAGTTTCATAGCTTCAGAATTCACTCTTTGAAACAGTGTTTATATGATTTCTCCATAGCCTTCTAGAACTCAACATCTAAGGTATAGTGACAAATGCAGTTTTGTTAATGGATATTTTTTGTACCTGTATTAAATTTCTTTTTGTAAGACTATATTTGAATTTGGAAAGTAAATATAAAATAGTAATGAATAAAATGGGGATAACTAGTGACTCTAAGCGTGAACCTGGAGCTGCAAGTTTCTCAGGCTGATGAACACTCCATGCAGATAAACCCAATGTGCAGGCTCCTCTTCATGCCCTCCAGAGAAACTTTTCCTCCCATTACACTCCTTAAGGAGTCCCTGGGTAGCACAAATGGTTAAGTTGCTGGACTACTAACTAAAAGGTTGGTAGTTCAAATTTATCCAGAGGTGTCTCGCTGGTGATCTGCTTCTGGAAGGTCACAGCTTTGAAAACCCTACGAAGCAGTTCTACTCTGCACACATGGGATAGCCATGAGTTGGGATCGATTCCATGACAACTAACAACAACAACAACAACAACCCTCCTTAATTCTTTTGTCCTTGAACAAAGGAGATCACAGCCATGTTAACTGTTCTGCTTTAGCAGCAACAGAGTGTTCTTAGACTTCGGTCTCAAGAGTCAGCTACAAATGCAATGTGTGATAAACCTTTCACCACTTGATTCTGCAACAGCTACCAACAGAAAAGTGCCCAAGGTCATTTTCAAATCATCTGTAAAACATTAGCCTTTCCCTCTGCCCAAAAGACTAGGAGTATTACTTAAATGCCTGAGGTTCATTCTATGTGAAGAACTACAGATTCCAAATTTTATTTGTTTACTTAAAGTTTTATATTGAGATTTTTTCCCTAAAGTTAAAAATAAAAAAGAGGTAGGGGCAGGTATATATTGCCTCATTTCCTAGGTCTTATTTGTCAAAGAGACAGTAGTGGTGGCTCAGTGGTAGAATTCTCATCTTCCATGCTCTGCACCTCATGTGCACCCATCACTCATCTGTCAGTGGAGGCTTGTGTGTTGTTGCTATGATGCTATGAAACAGGTTTCAGCAGAACTTCTAGACTAAGATGGACTAGAAAGTAAGGTCTGGTGATCTCTTTCCAAAAATCAGGAGAAGATTGCTTTGGTTTCAAAAGCTGATCTTCGTGTAGATTTGCTAGTGCACTATTTGCTACGTAAGCCTATTAAAGTGTGTTTGTTAGCTAGTGATCGGCCATCTAAGATGCATCAATTGGTCTCAACCCACCTGGAGTAAAGGAGAATGAAGAACACCAAAGACACAAGGAAAGTATTAGCCCAAGAGACAGAAAAGGCCACATAAACCAGAGACTTCATCATCCTGAGACCAGAAGAACTAGATGGTGCCTGGCTACCACCAATGATCTCCCTGACAGGGAACACAACAGACAGTTCCTGATGGAGCAGGAGAAAAGTAGGGTGCAGTTCTCATTCTAGTAAAAAGACCAAACTTAATGGTCTGAGTGCAACCGGAGGGACCCCGGAAGACATAGCCCCCGGACCCTCTGTTAGTCCAAAACTAAAACCATTCTCAAGACCAAGTCTTCAGACAAAGATTAGACTGGACTATGGGACATAAAATGATACTCGTGAAGAGTGTGCTTCTTAGCTCAGTAGATACATGAGACTAAATGGCAGCTCCTGTCCAGAGGCGAGATGAGAAGGCAGAGAGGGTTAGGAGCTGGCTGAATGGACACGGGAGATCTGGGGTGGAAAGGAGGAGTGTGCTGTCACAGTATAGGGAAAGCAACAAGGATCACATAACAATATATGTATAAATTTTTGTATGAGAGACTAACTTGAATTGTAAACTTTCAGTTAAAGTATAGCAACTAAAAAAAATCGATCAAAGTGTTTTTGTTGTTTTACACCTTAAACTTACCTTGCAGCGTCACATGAGGTTTGTCTGGTTGGACGGCAGCAGCTATAGGCCGTGGTGGGGGGAGAGGGGGTCTGCTGCTCAGGAGTGGCTCCTGCGAACTATTCTCTGGATCGTCTCCGGGAATGAACACATACAAGTCATCATACTGGTTGTCAGAACTCTCACTGTCAACCTCCGTTGGGCTGTGCTCAGATTCACTCTCATTTTCTTCCTCTGTTTCATTCACCTCAGCTCCTTCTGCACCCAGCCTGCAAGTCTGCCAACTTCCGTGATGAAATGCTGCATTCTGTGTGGCTGTTTATGATAAAGATTGTATTATTTCCTTTAAACACACCATCTGGAGGCATTTCATATTTTGTAATTTCATACAGAAGTAGTAGCACTGCTAATAAAACTTTTATGAACTGATAGAGTGGAAAGCTGTCAAACGTGTAACTTTGGTGAACAGTCATTTCTGGGCTTTTAAAATATTTACCAAATGAAAAGTCAAAGCTTCCGTTTAATCTTGCTACCTCAGTACATGACACATTCATGCATATAATAATATTCTGATTCTCTGGAGTTATTGTTTGAGTAGATTCATATGTTTGACAACATTATTGCATTTTTATTAGAAAACAGTATAACTGACCTAATAAAATAGGCAATAAGTAGGTGATGGAAAAGGTAAAGACAAGGAAAACACCCAAAAAAAACAAACAAAAAAAACTCTGACTTGCATATAAATAATGCAATAAAAATGAATCTGTGACCCTTACTTAGTTATGATTTTAATATATATTTATCACCAGATGTTAGCCTAGTTTGTTAAAATACTGATAATGAAAAACATTAATTTTTTTTGATGGTGAAGGTATCCAAATCATCATTAGTGGGTAACTCTGAGGCTCAGTTCTCTCAGTGAAGGATTCTATCCTGAAACTTCATCAAATAATCTAGTCAAATTCCCTCCACTCTAAGCACCATGATTTTATCATTTATTTTTATACTGTACACAATAAATACTCTTTTCAGAAAGGAAATAGGAAAAAAAAGACAGTATGATACAATAACCTTAAATCTTAAAAAATAATTTTAATAAACATACTCTCTAAACAAAGAGTTCAAAAAATTTTAAAACAGACTTTGGAACTACTGAATCAGGGAATATGTGAATTGTCATTGTTAGTGGAATAGAAAAGCAAACACTATTGTTTTAAAATGAAGCTAAACTTAAATACAGCTAAAGAAGTCAAATAGCAGAGTTCAGAGGAGAAAATATGTTGATAAAATGACGAGACAAACTGTAGAAATTTTTCAGCAACAGGAGAAAAATTAGCCATGTGGAAAACCATGCTCATGATGGTACCCCATATGTCTACATAGATTTTTTCTTCTTCTTTCATATGAGAAGGAAGAAAGACACAGCTTCCAGTACTAGAACTGTAAATGAAGATTCTTTTAATTAACAGTCTATGCAACACAGACAGATTTTCATTCTTGATATTCATTGCTGCACAGATATCTCATTCATCTTTCTACCCCTAACACCAAACACTGAGCCTGAAATAAAGTATTCTCTAGATATGCCAATGGAGTAGATGATGGAAGGACTAAAAAGAAACCATTGCTCAGGCTAACAAAGGGACTTCACTATTTGTCTGGGCAAATCAATCATCAACTTAGAATGACATTCATACTATCGGAAATTACTTAGAGCCGCCCTCAGGTTTATGGAGGTCAGTGTTTCTTAGCACTGACTAAGCAACAGAGTCTCTGTGGTATTTGTCAAATATACCACCTGGAATCCAGCCCTGTACCCAGAGTTGGATTTAGTTGGTCAGTGAATTTCAGCAAGCTACTCAGTAATTGTGATATCAATAGAATCTGCTCACTTAGGGTGTCCTATGTCTTCACGTCCTCTCCATGAACAAGGCTGAGGGCTGATTCCACTATCACAATCACTCAGAGCTTCATATGTGGGAGAGTTTCTGGTTCTAAACTGTCTGTAGATATAAGTTTGTTTTGTACAAAGAACCGAAATAATGTTGTTATTACAGGGAGTTCTTCTGAAAATTAAATGTCAGAATTAATATATGGTCAAAATCAATGATGGCCTTTAAAATCACTTTTAATATCATTTAAAATGATAAAAATATCTAATCTTAAAACTTAATGCATTAATTAATTAACTTGACATTTAGTTTATTGTCGGGGTGGGGGGAGTTTCCCATAACGTTCGAAGGAGTTTACTAGTTTTCCAAAGTATACTAGTTAAGGTATTGCATTTAAATGCACCTTCTAATTGATTTACAGGTCAGCTATCATATGAAAAGTTAGTGGCCAAAAATATTTAGTTGGGCATCTACTACGTGCTGTTACAGGTAATGGAGATATGACCAAAACAGTGAACAAAATAAGTTCTGATCCTTTTCATCACATATTCTAAAAGGAGGTGACAGGTAAGGAACCAACAACCAGATAAATAAAATGTAGGTGCTAAATGGTGATAAGTACAATGAAGAAAAGAAGCAAGTGAAGGGAAATTGTGAGCAATGGTGGAGGGGTTGATGATACGGAGTGAGGAAGGAAGCCAGGTAGATACATGGAGGAGGATTGTGCAGAGGGAGCAGAAAGTTTGAGAAGGTCACTGTGGCCAAGAATGAGTAAGAGGGTGGCCAGAGATGGGATCAAAGATATCACCTATGGCCTTGTAGGTACTGAAAAGGATTATGTATTTTACCATGAGTAGATGGGAAGGGGAAACCCTGGTGGTGAAGTGGTTAAGAACTATGGCTGTTAACCAAAAGGTCAGCGGTTTGAATCCATCAGGCGCTCCTTTAAAACTCTGTGAGTCAGAATTGACTTGATGGCAACAGGTTTGGTTTTCTTTTATTTTATGATGGGAAGGTACTGGAGGATTTGGAGCAGAGGAGTGATATGTTGCTTTGGTTGTTTCATGAAACATAGAGTCTGAAAAGTAGCAAGCGTAGAAGCTGCTATGGCAGGGTTTCTTAACAGCGGTACTATTGACATTTTGGACTGGATAATTTTTTGTTGCGGGGGGGGGGTCTGTCCTGTGCACTATATTATATTTAGCAGCATTCCTGGTCTTTCTACCTACAAGCAGCAATCTCCCCTCCAGCCCCAGATATGATGATCAAAAATGTCTCTGTTCATTGCCGAAGAACTCCCAGTTGAGAACTAATGTGCTATTGCAATAATCCAAGGGAGAGTTGCTGACATCTTGGACTAGGATAAATAACAATGAAATGGAGGAGACATGGTTGAATGCTGGCTATATTTTGAAGAGTCAGCAGTATTGGCTGAATGATTGGATATGGTGTATGAGAGAAAGCAAAAAGGCCAAGGGTGACTCCAAGGTTTTTGGACTGAACCGAACAAAGGAAGAATGAGTTTTCACTTCCTGAGGGGAGAAGTCAGCAGGTAGGGCAGGTTTGGGAGTGTCAGGAACCAGAGTTTTCAATTAGAATTATTGGATGTGAGATGCCTGTCAGACCTGCAGGTGAGGATGTTTAGCAACCATTGTTTATCAATGAATCTGGCATAATGAGCAGAATTTATATACGCGGAGGAACATTCTAAATTAGTTTCCAGACCTTAGAACATAGAACTACAACCTATTATACCCGGTAAGGTCCTTAGCATCCAAATCTAATCTTCTCATTTTATAATTGAGAAAACCAAGGCCTGAAAAGAATGTGACTTTGTTTAAAACATACAACTCAAAATTATAGTTGTCAAGTAGTCAGAATACTGACATAGGCTTGACTTGTGTATTCTTCCTGGGTAGGAAAAACAGCATTTGTTTGGTTACTAAACCTGGAACTTTTTAGAAGTATTTAAGTTAGCAAGCTACCTTAGTAGTATATTATAAATTAGAACTCATTTGGTTAATTAAATATCTTTCCACATTCCCTTCATGCTTACTTTTACAATTACATGTAACATAAAAGAAAACTTACTGGGAGAATATTCAGCCTCTTCATAGTCATGTTCTTGCTCATTATTTCTGCTAATTTCTAGGATCTGAAAAAAATGGAGTGATTTTCAATAATATGCACTAATATTAATAAATATTCATTTTTACATATACCAATGGAAAGTTGATACCTGTGGAGATAAGAAACAGTTTTAACGCTTTTATGTAAAATAAAATTTTAAGTCTTTATTCAATACATTCAGTTGATTACATTATAAATCTTAGTTTTATTATATTTGTGCCACATACAACTGCACAATGATACACAGTACTAAAAGTATAACTGTGGCAATAGAACATTTGTAATAAAGAACAAATTCATTTAAAAGTAAAATTGATTGCAACTACTCTCAAATTCAAAGCAATAATCATGAAAGTTAGGTACAATAAGGAATATCTGAATAAAATTGAACACAATTATTTCCCTTAAAAACTAAGTTTTACTTCCTTTTAACATTTCCTCATTTTTCACCAGCTCAAAAGACATTTTTAATTACATCAAGTATTATACTAAAATGAAAGATAATGAATTTGTAGTTTATTTTTACTCTTCAAAAATAAGAAAGACACTGAATAAGAGAATTTGTGTTTGTCTTTCTAGAATCAGTTCCACTATACTCAGATGGAAAAATTACTGAAAAAAGACAGAAACCTGTTATCTCTGAAATTGCTAGTCTTTGTTCATAATTTGTAAAGGAAACATGGAGTCTACAGTTGTGGAACATATTGGTGCCCATAGAGAAAGCTATGTACTACCAGTGACAGTTCTAGTTCTATTTGTACAAAAGCATCCAGGGAAAGGGATGGAGTTCAGTTGCATTTAACAAGGTCACATTTTGTTACAATGAACTCCAAGGGATTATTCAAATAATTTATGCTTTTGTTCTTAATAAAACTGATTGAAATCATTAGGTCATTTGTTCTGCATTTAGAATGTCCCTTTAAAGATTAGAAGCATTCATATTAAAGCATTATTAAGCTTATGGTGGCCTTACTATGCAGAGGAATTTGACCTGCATATTAACTTCATCAATTTGGTTTGTTACCTACTTTGGGCAATGGGAGCTCAATGAGATTTATTCACTTTTTTTTTTTAAAGCTAAAACTATCTATATCTTGTTTACAGAAGGGAAAAAACAAACACTGGAATCTTGAAAAGAAAACTCTGTTTATTGTTTTTCAGTAAGACTGATACAATCACTCATTTTCTATTTAAATCATTTTTTCCTATTGGTGGACTCACTCAAATGTTAATATAAAAATCATGTCACTTTTCTATGGGGGATTGACAAATTGATGGATATTTGCATGCTTTGATACTGAAAACATTATTTTAATATAGTTATTTTTTGTTTTGCATTAGCCTGACTTGTACATTTCATAAGATAGGTCAAGAATATATATACAAAAAAAGCCGTAATACTCTCAAATCCATATCAAGGAATGCCTTACCCATTGAAGAATTACAATGGTTTCCAAAGATTTCAGAATTATGTAGAAAATCCTATATAATGTTCATGAGTCTAGGCATTATGAACTCAAAACCAGTGTGAATTAATAAAGAGACATTGCACAAGTGTTTTAAGTATATGCATGTGTACTGCGACTGAAACCCAATGGGATAATTTATTCTGTCACAATTTAAAACATTTGACAATTGTACAAATAAACAAAACTCAATCCCAAAAATGTCTCAAAGGAAGCTGCTTCCATATTTTAAAAGCAGCCTGGTTTGCCTGATTTGTACACTTACATAAATTTTATTTACAATAGTTATTTTGTATAAGTGGGCTAGGCAGAGAATAATTGTTTTCTCAGGAAAAAAATCTTTAGAAGTAGACTGAAAAACAAAAGTTTCTTGGGTTTCTTACACTTAGTGACAATCATAATTATTTTGAAAAAAACATGTTAACGCTCCAATATAATCAACGATGAGGTCATCGTTGATATTCTGACATCTAATCACTTTAAAATCCAGCTTTGTAATACAGTAGACAGAGCAGGGACTTTATAGTCAGACAATCTAAGAACAAATCACAGCTCTATTATTTATTAGCTATTTGACATTGGGCAAGATACTTAACTCTGTTCCTCAGTTTTCTATCCTGCAAAATGTGCATAGTAATATCTATGTCATCATATTGCCTGGCGGGTTAAATTAGAATAACATAAGCAAAACATACATTATAACATCTACCACCTAGTAAGTGTTCAATAAAAATAATTCCTATACATTAGATTTTCCTTTTTCATATAAAATACACATCTACTTTTAAGCAAGTGTTATGACCATATTGGTTTGATGGGGGAATCAATCAATAATAAACCAATAATTATTTAATTTTTTCTCCTCAACTGTCTACCTCCTGAAGTTCTGCTGCAACAGAAAAGAACTAGGGTATAGACTTTCTGATTTAAGTGTGGCAGTTATTACTTTGTTATTAAAAACATTACTATAATTTACAAGGTAAATGAGATACTAAGAAGCAGGGAAAAAGAGATACTTAATTCTTTAATATGTCTCTTTTTTTTGGGGTCTAGAATATTGCCAAATATTTATGCAGGCCTACAATATGCTAAATACTCTGTAAGCTATTAAGGAAAATAAGTGGAAAAAAATTGAAAAGGGACATAATTTCCACTCTCAAAAATATCATATTTTTATTGGGAAACAGAGAAAAAAATAATGAATTGATTAGAATATAGTAAGAGCTGACATCAGAGTAAGTACTAGGTCTATTTTATTTTACTACAATAAACTCAGTCCCTACAGATAACATGGAGAGCTAAGAAATAGATACTCATGGCAAAAGTTTCATTCATTAATTTTTTGGATGGGGGATGCTGAGTTAAAAAATGATTTTGATAATTGTCTTGAGTCCCATCCTCTAAATGAAAGCTCAGCTTAAACTAAAAAATCTATTAGCTGATCACGCTCAATGTAACATTCCAGCCCACAGACAAGTCCTTGTGGCATTCAGTGTTTGATGGAATTAAAATCATTTGTGATCTAAGATAAATTAAAAAGATAACTTTTTGTTGACTGAAGTATATAAAGCTCCACACGGCTTTGGCATCTGGTCTTGTACCAATTGATCATAATATTCTGATTTTTAGGGAGTGACTCAAAACAATCTTCACATGGCGATTAGTTTCCAAATCTTTTTATGAGGTTCTGAAGATATTGTAATTGGCCCAACTCTTGCTCAATTTTCAACGGTGTTGATTATGAATTATTTTACCAGCTTTTAAAGCACATGGAAGTTTGTGGAATGAGAATAAGAAGACAAATATATGGTTCAAGAGTAACAAATTAGGCCATCGAGGAATATGGTCAAGAGATAGAGTCACGTGATTTCCTATGAAACTTTATTATTATTATATAAGAACTGGAATCCTGAGTGCACAAATTAAATAGGAATTCCACCCATATTTGGGAGAGGAATAAACTAGATGTGGAGCAATTTATTAAACTCAGGGGAAAAAAGTGAACATTTTCCTAGATAAAGGTCAATATTTAATTAAAATAATGAAAAGACATATGCTCTATTTTTAAAACAGAATTATTATAAAAAATTAAAGTGATGGGAAGACACATTAACCAGGTGGACAAATGTTAGAAATCTCCTCCCGCACAATGAGAAATTCAATTTTCTAATTGTGATCAACAAAGACAATCTGGTGAAGTAGAACATGCACCCATGGGGACAAGAGATGGTTTCATATGAAACAGTTCATATAAAGGAAGAAAGAAACAACATAATATCTATCTCTTAACACTTAGAAAAATATATTCTAAAAAGTTTAGCTTTCAGAAAGTTTACAGGTTTGCCTTCTGTAGCTGACACGTCTCATTCTGACCTCGGCTCGTGGAGTGTGCTCCACTTTTCCTGGGCTCACCTCATGTTCCTTAGTCACTTGAAGACCACACTCCAGCTGAACACCCGTCTTGGTCGCCCAGAGGGCCCCTGGTCCTGGTCCTGACTGCTCTCAGACTTCACCTCTGCCCATGATGCAGATCTAACTATAGTTGTGAACTTCAGGCTTGAGCACCTGCCCCTTTTGATTATATTCTAGACCAGTTTTGATAGTATTTGTTGTAAACCAATAATAGTTATAGCCCCGTCTTTAAGGTACCAGCACTTTTACTGGGCTATCTCCTTGTTTTGACTTCAGCTATCCCTGTCTCTAAAATAGGAATGATAAAACAGAAATCCATTTCTTGGTTAGGATTATAAGTGTAATTATGAAAAATAGCTATCTTTGTTTAAAACTATGAAATCCCAAGCCTTAAAGAAATCTGTGGAGAACAAATGGTTTATAATTCTTAAACTAATACAATACTAAAATAATGTGTCACACTAAAAATGTAAACATTTGAATATTTTTTTCCAATTAAAAAGTTTTAAAATGTGGTCTATGTTCTGCACTGTCCAACCTCCTCTATAAGTTGGTTTTTCCTGATTTCCCTCCATGTTCCTTCTTACAATATGCATTCCTGGTCTCTTGTTCTCTTCTTACAATACACATTTTCCCTTGGTGATCTTACCCACTTCATTGCCTTTAATTTATAACTATATCCCTATGATTCCTGGACATACGTCTTAGCTCAAACTTTTCTGAGGTCTACTTTCTAGGTTTCAGCAAAGGATACGAGAAGCAAAGGGAAAAACATGGAGAGAAAGAGATATCAAAAAAATCAGGAGAGAGGGTTCCATGTAGATGAAAATGTTACATGCTTCACCAAGTGTAAAAAACAAAAACTCTGAAAATAAGTTATTAGATTTTCCAATTAAGGTCACTGGTAACTCTGGTGAGGGAAATTACTGTGGAATTGTGTGAATTCATACTGGATTGAAGAATCTTAAAGAATATAATGGGGGTGAATAATTAAATATATGATGCATAGATTTTTCTTTCAGAAACCCTGATGTGAAGAAGGGACATAGGACAACTGTTCTAAACTTTTTGTTTTTGTTTTCTTTTCCAAAAGACAGACTTAAAGATATCAGAGGAAGAGTGCCTCATTCCAGGCAACGGTTAAGGA